ATACTTCAACCCTGGTGTCACTAATCTATATATAACATAAATCTATATATAACATACATTCTATCTTCCATATTACTCTAGTTTCTTCATTTTCTTTCTTCCCCTTGATAATCAATGCTGGGATGCTAGTATGCCATAATTACACTGTGCAAATTACTTATACATTCTATAAGCAATTTGTAGAATGCCATAGGTTCTTGGGTCAAGAGATGGTATAAAAATTTAATGAATGTTTATAACTGTGATACTTTAATCAAAAAAGACAATTTCCTTTCAAAAGTAACATTTCTGTAGTTGTTTACCAGATCTACTATGTTCACAAAACAAAAAAAGGCAATTTCAGATTTGATAAATATATGATTTTTACAAAAAATACAGTATTTCCCAATTGTTTTAGGAATCATATAAACTTTTTAGACTTTTAAATGCTTTCTTCATTTTAAAATAATGAGTAGCTTTCAATTAATAAAATGTTACGGAGAAAAAGTCTGTTTTCAAAAGGAGGACCCACATTTTATCTGCTTAAATAAAAGAAGCACGAGGGCAAAGGGCTGAGTTTTGCTTTACAAAGGTTCCTATAGGCTTTCCCAATAAGTGGGAAATTGACCATTCAGAAGAAAACTGAAGCAATAATTGGACCAAGGCATCCAGGACTATATGTAGCTTTAGCAAAGTAAAATACAAATAAGAAATCACTGCAGCTTTTGACTGTTTAAAAACACCTGAGAATAGCATGTTGGTTTAATGATCTGGTAAAGCGTTCTCTTCCTTGACTCTATGTTTTCCAGTTTTATTTACTTATGTTTCTGATGTGAACTCATAGATTTCTATTTTGTGAATAAAATAATGACATGCACATACACAGTTGAAGCAATTAGCTAGGAATTAACTATCATTTCTCACACTTCACTAGATGACCAAAAAAAAAAAAACAAACCCCACATACACTCACACACATACAAATCCAACAACACCACCAACAAAAACCCCAGGAGACATTTGCTCCAATTCCCATGACAGTGTTATAATTTTAAAATCAACTGATGAATATTTGTTGACATATAAAACTACAATGAGAAATAGCTTCTAAAGTTCTTGAAAATATACATTAATGATTTAGCATGACATGGTTTGAACCCTACACAACGACTTACTAGCTTTATGACCTCAAGCAGGTCACTCAACCTCTCTGTGCTTCACAATCCTCACCTACAAAATGGGGGCAATAATATTCCTACCTCATAGAATTAAACGGGCTAATACATATAATGTACTAAAATAGTACCCTGCACATGCTAAGTACTACTTGTGTATTAGTTATTATTTTCTCTATATTTTAGTATTAACTTATGTACATTAGTCATGATTATTAGAAAATAGTATTCTTTCACATTGTATTTTCCAATATGAATATTTACTTAAAGTCAGGTGTATACTAATAAATTTATATTTGGGTATAGGTAGAAATCTTATAACACGAAAACAATTTTAATAAGACACCTGAGTAATTTTTTAGTTAGTAATATTGATATTTAGATGAGGCGATTCTTAAAAATCTCCTAAAATAGATATACACTGTTAATATGAAAGCCAATTTCTATAATCTATAATAACAGCATTACTTTAGTTCAGGCAGCTCTTGATTTTTAGCTATTATTACCATCTAAAGTTTATTGAATTTTGTGCTATACACAATGTTAATTGCTTTATAGGCTTTATCTCATTTAATCCTTATAATAATCTTGTAAGGTAAACTCGTTGCCGTTCTGTTGATTCTGACTCATAGCAACCCTGTAGGACAGAGTAGAACTTCCCCAATGGTTTCCAAGGAGGGGCTGGTGGATGTGAACTGCCGACCTTTTGGTTATCAGCCATAGCTCTTCATAATTCTCATTTTAAAAACGAAAGCTTATATAGATTAGGCAACTTGCTCAAGGCCATATATCTAGTCAGTGTTTGAGTTAGCACTAATACCTACTTGTGACTTTGAAGTTTTGCTACTACCTAGTATTACACTGGTATAACCAGAGTGGAGGTCATGCATAATAAGGCAAAAATAAGTAAAAAGATTTTGAAAGCGTAAGTTTTAACTAATTCTTAAGAAATAACTCAGGTGCAAAAGATTTACTCATACCTATTAACAATTACGGAGCCCTGGTAGTGCAGTGGTTAGGGGTTTGGCCTTTAACCAAAAGGTCAGCAGTTTGAATCCACCAGCCCTCCTTGGAAACCCTATGGAGCAGTTCTACTCTGCCCTATAGGGTCGCTGTGAGTCGGAATCGATTGGATGGCAACAGGTTTTTTTTTTTTTTTTTAATGCAAATATCTATTCATATGAGGGAAACAGATTACCAGGCCTTTCTTCCTAATGTGTCTTAGTCTGGAGGCTCCACTGAAACCTGTTCAGCATCACAGCAACACACAAGTCTCCAATGATAGACGGGTGGTGGCTGCACATGAGGTGTGTTGTCCAGGAATTGAACCCAAGTCTCCCACGTGGAAGGTGAGAATTCTACTGCTGAACCACCACCGCCCCTTACTCCTACTCCTACTGTTACTGAAGATGGGAGAAACAGGAGTAACTTTATATTTTAAGGGATTAGCCATGGGAAATGGAGAATTTAAGATACAAATAACAAGGAATAGGTTCCAAAGCAGAAAGAGGGGGGATTATCCTTGGATCAAAGATGTATCTTTCACTGAAACAGAAGGAAAGCACAGGTATGCTAATGTTTTTAAGTAGAAAGAAAGGAAGTAGAAAGTTCTGGCTTGATGACTTCGAGTTTCACGGATAAAGTAGGAAGCAAGGTCATTTGTAGGAAGTGAAGGTAGCAGAGATAGTTTGAGGAAAAGGGGGAAAAAAGCTTATAAGGGAACTGAATAGAAAGCTGGTCAGAAATAACTAGATAGGGACCCCATGGATCTACAGTGGTATCCATCTACATCTGCGTGTTCCTTTTACAGAAACAGTAATAGAGAGGTTTGCTAGATGACTTTGATGCAAGGGCAAGGGGTAACAATATACGAATGATTAAAGTGATAATTCAAGCAGTCTAAAATGGATCAGAAAGGAAGTGAAACCATGAAGTACAAGGTAGACTTAAGAAAATGGAGTAGGGATTTTAAATGAGTCTAATAAGCAGGGGAGGGTAAGAGAGTGAGAGGGAAAGGATAGGATGTTATAATCAGAGAGCGGGATACTGCTTAAAATTTCACGAGTGGGGTATAGCCATGGGTGGAATGGAAGGTCACTGGCGTTGAGAAAGGAACTTATAAAGTTATAATGCTTGATGAATCATCCAAAAGTTTGCCTCATTAAATTACCAAAAATGATGCCAGGATTAAGGGGATTAGGAGCCAAGAAGAAAAGAAGAGTATCTTTTCGCAAGCATAATCATGTAATAAATATTTTTTAATGAAAAGCTTCCTTATCAGAGTTATCATTGAATATGTAAGCAGTAACCAGAAGATCATTATATTAAAGAAGACTAAAAGGTAATACAGCTTAGATGGTACAAGCCTCGAAGGAAGTAGTTTTATAAGATAGTGGAGGAGCAATGGCTGCAATTGGAAATAGAAAGCCAGAGGACTGTTTCCCCTACTGGTGGTACTTAGTGAGAAACTGAGCTTCTATAGCAGGGATCAGCTAACTATGGCTGATAGGATCTGGCCTGCTACATCTTTTTGTAAATAAAGTTTTATTGGAACAGCCATGCTCATTTGTTTATATATTGTCTGTGGTTGCTTTTATGCTATAATGGTACGGTTGTGTAGTTGAGGCAGAGATTGTGTGGCCTGCAAACCCAAAATATTTACTATCTGGTTGCTTTTATGCTATAATGGTACGGTTGTGTAGTTGAGGCAGAGATTGTGTGGCCTGCAAACCCAAAATATTTACTATCTGGCCCTTTAGAGAAAAAGTTTGTCAACTTCTGCTCTATAGCTAAAAGGAGTGGGGAGCTAGGGGTGAGGCAAGAAAAATGTAGGTTTCAGTTATGACCCCACTTTCAGAAGGAAATGGAGGTAGCATTCATTGAAGTAGATAAAGATGAGTGCAGTCTGGACACAACAGAAAGGATACACTGGAAGGACATTAGTGTGAAGATGAGCTGGGGGTAGATGGCACAAAGCAATATTTACATGAGTGTCTGGAGAGCACGTGACTGCAGGGGCATGTAGTAAAGCATGACAGGAACATTTTAATATTCTTATTCCTAACTCTCACTACAGCATACATCAAGATGATTCAGACAAAGAGACTGAGTGTTCCCAGAGGCCAGGGTAACATTTATTGTTTGTGATTCAGTCAGCAATCTTTGGTTTTAACCCAAGCTTCGAAAAGAGCAGTGCATCTTCACAAAGCTCAGCCATAGGACAAATAGACAAAAATGGAGCTGGAAGTGGCAAAGGAACAGCGGTGGACTTCAGACTGTAAAAACTTGGGATATATATGCAACATGGGGAATATATTTAATAATCAATTAATAAGAGATGAATAACAAGAATCATCCAGTAGTGAGAATATGCAGAAGCAATATCTATAAATAGTTCAGTTACTGGCATTTTTGCAGAAATGCTTGATAGTCCCAGAATAGGAAAGTAAAAAAATAGACAGCAGTTTGTACACAGGGTTGAGGACTGGGATGGACTGCAGCAAAGACAGAGGGCTAGGACATGCAGAGGGCTAGTTCAAAAGCTGAAACCAGCTTCTAACTTGCACTGAACTAAAAATGCAAAAAAATTTAGGATAATCTGAAAGTAGCTGTACAGCACATTAAAGATGAATACAATCATGTGGAAAAACAAACAAACAAACAAATCTAAAGATCACTCTGTCAATTGCTTAGTCTTAATTGTGAATCTACTGTGATTCAGAAATTACAATAGGCTAATATTTTTTTAATGATCAGAAGTCTAGCATATTGATAATTTATTTTCCAAAGTTTATTTAAGAAAAGGTTTTCAAGTGCATATTTTCTAAACCATTACTATATACTTGCCTGCTTTCTTACTAAGCTTGTATAAGAAAGTTTGGCGAGGGTCTGAGTGATCTCGACATGTCAGTTGCAAAAGAGAACCTGATTTTTTCCATTTCTGCATAAACCAGAGACCTAGAAAATTATAAATGATCTGTAAGTGTAACTGGAAATATATAACACATGACAAGGTTAGTAATTTTAATATATACTTTACTTCAAAAATGACACCTCTCAAATTAGCATTTTGTTGGCCAATAAAAAATGTATTTGTAAGATATTTCCATCGTTTGATGGCAACTATAAGTGTACACATATGCACGTTGATTAAGTAAGTTAACAGGGTTGATGCAGGGCCTATTTCTTTCTCATTCAGTAATGAAACAGATAATGGTATATGAAGAACAGATCTGGGAAAATTGTGCCTTTAGAGCTATTTGTTCAAACTGTAAAAAAGCAGAGATGGAAAATCTTCAAATAAGGGTACTATAGTATATCCAAATGTCTACACATTGGGTCTTCAGTCTATACAGATAAGTTATGGTAAACTAATTGTACAAGGACCAACTCTTTGAATGAACAATCGGTTAATGTTTTCTAATAGATGAATATAATTTAAGTTTCATATTTAATTCTATTTCCTTATATTATTAGTTAAGGAGCCCTGGTTGTGCAATGGTTAAGCATTCAGCTGCTAACTGAAAGGTCAGCTGTTCGAACCCACCAGTACCTCTGCGGGAGAAAGATGTGGCAGTTTGCTTCCGTAAAGGTTTACTGCCTTGGAAACACTATGGGGCAGTTCTACTCTGTCCTATAGGGTCATCATGAGTCGGATTCGACTTAATGGCAGTGGGTTTTATATTACCAGTTACCCATATTTAAATGCATCTTCCCCTTAAGGAACTTAAATGAAATCTCAATTGCTCTGGAACTGGTTTCTGAGACTGTGGAATTTTCATTGTAATGATTTGTCTGTCAATGAAAGTAAATAGAAAAGAAAATGGAAACAAGAGTTTCAGGGCTCACTAAAAACAGACAGGATGAAATCTAATTTATTCTCACAATGGAAATCAACTGACTAACCTATAAACCATTAAAAAAAACAAAACAAAAAAACCAGTCAAACAAAAGCGAAATCAAGTAACAGATATTTCACTTTGAGAATATTTATTCTAATCAAAATTAGAGGCTTAACTTCATTTAAATTTCTTTAGAAATTTTGGAATTTTTCTCATATTATGCCTTTATTATCACTATAATTAAAATCTAAGAGTTAACATTTTTATATAAAATATTTTGTAATTTTATAATACAATATTAAAGATAGATAACTGTTTGATCTCTGTTAATGAAATGATTAAATAACCTGTTTACAGAATAACCATTTTACTAAGAATATTTAGAGGCAGTTTAATTAAAAAGACAAATTTTCAAGTGTGGCATTTTACAAATAACATCTCAATAAGAGAATATTCATTTTCTGAAATAAGCTATCAGTTTATTTCATATGCATGACAAAATATAAAAATAGCTACATCTTTTGTTTCATGAAATTGCAAGCATATGACAAGTTGGCACCAAAATGCACAACAGAAAATATTAAATTCATATTTAAATTTCTCCCCATGCTATTATGCTATATATTTTAAACAGTAAAATAAAACTTTCTTACCTGTGTTAACAAGAGCACTGCTATTGTAGAGCGTACCAAGGTGAGGTCCAGAAAGAGACAGAAAGGTATGAAGCTTGTGGAGGTAATATTTAAATCTTGGCCTTGTAAGCACTGAACGGATTATCAAATTGCCCAATGAATGTCCAATAAAGCTTTAAGAAAAAAAGAAAAAGATGATATTTCTCCCATAGCATTAGTTTTAAAAATAAAAGCTAATATCACTATACAGAGATATAAACTATTAAGAATTTGAAAATTTCTAATATGTTTTAAGATTATAGTTTGATACTTTGAAGTAATATTACCTATATTTTGAAGAAAAAAATATGACAATGAGTAGAAAATACCCATTATTATGGAATTTTTAAAAGTTTACTCTATAGAAATAAAATATTACTTACCAGGAAAGTTTTATTCATAGTTCGTAACTTCTTAGAAATTTATTTTAAAAGTAACAGTATGTTGACTAGATCACAAATACACTTCCTTAGGCAAATATACAAATTATTTGATTGTTAAAACATGATTTCAAATGAAATAATGAAACTAATCTAAAAGATGACTTAGGAGAAACTATATACCTATTTCTCTTATTCTTTGGTCTACACTCCAAAGTGGGAGAGTTCTTTAAGTGATAGTACTTTCCAGACACAGGTAAAATATGTGCATTTCCCTACTCTAAGTCTAAGATTATATAAAAAGAATAATATTTATATAGCACTTGACATTCACTGAGTCTCTGGGTGGTGCAAATGGTTAATGAACTCAGCTACTAATCGAAACGTTGGAAGTTCGAGTTCGCCAGAGGCATCTCAGAAGAAACGACTGGTCATCTACTTCTGAAAATTTCAGCCACTGAAAACCCTATGGAGCACAGTTCTACTCTGACACAGATAAGGTCGCTTATGAGTTGGAGTAGACTTGATGGCAACCAGTACTGGTCAGATTCATTCAGGAAAGGTTGAAATCAGAAGAGCCATTTAACTTACCAGTATTTTACAATAGGTAGTGTAAGAATCCTTGGGGACAATTAGTGAAAGGAGAGAGCTTGAAAGCTAAATGTTGGCTTGCAGATATATCCAGTGAGAAATTCAGGACAAACTTCCCTCCCAACTTGAAGTTCCTAAAACTGTGGGATTTGAATTATGATGGTAGCCAATAGTTCACAATTAACCAGATCAGGCTTTTGGATAATGGTTGATTATAATTGACAATGTAAGCTAAAAAGGGGAATACATTTGTGGATGAATGAAAAAATTAAAATAATGTATTATTTTTCTCATCATAAAATAATAAATGAAAAGAAATAAAATATCACTGTAGAAAATTCAATAAACACAAAATATTAAAAAAATGTATAAACGATGAGATTAGAACAAGAAAATATCCTCTTCTCTCCCTCAAAACAACCACACAACTGCAACTCTCCCCATACTTTAACAGAATTGTTTATTAAAAATGACTTCAAATAAAAACCTGCTTATCTCTTTTTATTCCTTAGTCTATACTTCAAACTTGAAACTACAGAAGTATATAGTAAGCAGAGCCAGCTTCCTCCTCTAACATAGTTGGAATATGAATGTAATTAGTTGCTCCTACCCTTTTTGAGGCTGTTTTACCTTTTTCTTTATTTCCTACTAGACTAGAAGAAACAAAGAGACTTCTCTTTCTCATTTCAATCCACAATATCTAAACAAGTAATGAAACTTATATTCGTTTGATCTTCATCTTCTGGCTCGTGGAAAACAGATTCACAAATGACAGTCATGAAATTCTAAAGTTATTTTTGTTGTTTCTTCTGTTCACATGTATGCTTGCCTATAATCTTTTTCTTTGTAACAGCTTTAAGATATAATTCATATTATATTACAGATTAAACTGTGTCCTCCCAAAATATTATTTGAATTTTAACCCCTATACCTATGGATATAATCCTATTTGGAAATAGGGTTTCTTTTGTTATGTTAATAAGGCCTATCAGTATAGGTTGTGTACTGAACCTAATTACTTCTGAGTCTTAAAAAGAGCAGATTAGACACAGAAGCAAGCTCAAACAGGGGAAGATGGATGCCACCTGAAGACTGCCCAGGAACTGAAGAATGCCAGGACTACAGAAGCTGAAAGAGACAAGGATCTTCCCCTAGAGCTGACAGAGAAAGAGCCTTCCCCTAGAGCTGATACCCTCAATTCAGACTTTTAGCCTCCTGAACTGTGAGAAAACTAATTTCTGTTCTTTAAAGCTACTCACTTGTGGTATTTTTGTTACAGCAGCACTAGGAAACTAAGACGTCATACAATTCACCCATTAAAGTGTACAATTAAATGGTTTTCAGTATATTTACAGAGCTGTGCAACTACCACCACAATCAATTTTGGAATATTTTCATCATCTCAAAAAGAAACCCAGTCTCCTTAGCTATCACTCTCCTACCTTCCCATCCTCCTTAGCCCTAGGCACAGCAAACCTACTATCTGTCTCTATAGGTTTGCCTATTCTGGATATTTAACATATATGGAATCATATACTATGTGGTTTTTCCCTATAACCTTTTATTTTTTCCTTTTCTCCTTAATTGGTTTGTGTTCTCTTATATTTCCAAATAGGGCAACAAAACTACCACAAATTCTGTTGCTATAATTTATAGAAGTATAAAAATAAATTGTGTAATATCATAGAAATTACCTTATTTTTGAGACTGTTAGACTATATATCTGAATATACTGTATTATCTCATCCAGAAGGCGATCAGTCATGCTATCAAAATCAGCAAAAGTATCATTCTAATAAAAAAGCAAAACAGACACATTATGTACTGAAATATGTATAATGACATGAAAAACTAACTGAATATAAATGTTCTTCTTCTTAGACGCCGTCGAGTTGCTTTCAACTCATAGTGACCCTGTGTACAACAGAACAAAGCACTGCCCGGTCTTGTGCCATCCTCACAATTGTTATGCTCGAGCCCATTGTTGCAGCCA